GCCCGCGCGCCCCTGTCGCTGCCGGCAAGCTCAAACCGGATGAGCGTGCCCCACATCACCTGCCAATGTGACCCGAGCAAGCACATAGCCCCGCGCAGTTGATTGCAAGGTGAATTTCTGGTCCCGTAGCGGTGTGCAAACTTTGCCCTAGTTCGGCTTCACAGAGAGCCAGCCGAACCTTCGGGTCTTCGGGCCATCAGTCATTTTTAAGAGTCAGGCGCCATTCAGGTCTTCACTCTTTCCTCCCCTCCGCACACTGCGAAGTCACGTGGGGCCACTGACTTTCTGATCCCTGGCAAGGAGGAAACTCGATTTGTGTTGGCGCAACCTGCGTAGGTTGCGCCGGGGAATCGGGAAGGTTTTCCATTGCAAGCCATGTGGCGCCATGCTGGGTCTCCAGCCGTTGACCGCGCGTCATGCCAGAGGCCGCAGCGGAAGGTGGGGGGGATGCCTATGAGGTGCCCGGGAATTAGGCGCTCCTTTCGGGATGTTCAGATCAAGCAAAAGGCAACACACTTGTTCTGGTTCAGTCAATGCTTGCTGAAGGCAAGAGTTGAAAGGCAAGGACAGAAGAACCAGGTCAAAGGATGGGCGCCTCTCGTTTGCCCAAGAGGCCTCCTTCCTTCCTGAAACAGTACAGGGAGTTCAAAACTCAACGCCCAACATGTGAAAGCACAGCTACACGAGCTTTGGCCACTCCACGGTTTGGAACTTAGCACAGTCTGAAGGCAGACGGCCTTGGGGTTGGTGTCTATTTGCAGGGAAGGTCACATGCGTCATGAACCCTTGATGCTCATTTCCCTCCAGCATATAACATACTTCTTTTCATACTAAGAGTCATTGCCAGATGTAAGTCTTTTGCCACGTTTGCTGCCCTTTGAGGTGTCCTTCGTTGTCCGCTTCTGATTGCAGGTCCAAGTCTGTCCAAGGCGCATAGTTTGCTCTTTGCCAGGGCCCGTACCAAAGGGCCCGCACCAACACCCCATGTCATTTTCGTGGAAGTTTTGCCAACTGGCGTTCCATCGGGCTTGGGCCATTTGGCGCGCAATTACATGCCACGCAGAACGAGCAGCCCACCGGAGCTGCACGTCAGGCGATGGCCCGCTGGCAAGGCGTCCTCGGCCAAAGGCACGAACTTGAAATTGTGCCTGCGAGATGCAGGTCAAGTTGAAAAAGTGTCAAGAGCACAGAAAGCAAGGTGGCGCCCCCAATGCAGACACCCACGTAAACCTGCTTCGGGGGGGGGGACTTTTTGTTTGCCAGGCTTTGCTTGCGAGGTTTGCTCAATGTTCCCGGACATCAAGTTTCGCAGAAGGCCGACACATTGAATGTGAAGATCCCGGGTGTAGCGTACAGCCCATGTGTGCCATGGTCAGTAGATTCGGGTTGGCATGAATGGTCCTCAACCTCTTGATGGGGGTTTTAGAAAACAAAAGTAAAGCTTCTGCCAAGGCAGAGGACCACCCTGCCCGTAAAACGTTGAGAGGGTACTGTGCAAAGTGGTCCACCCCATGTCATTGAATCAATGTATCAACCCTCCCCATGATGTTTCCACTTGAGTCCCTGGGCGAGCTCGGGTGGTTTCCGGCGGCAAGGTGCCGCGGGCTTTCTTGGAGCATTTGGGCATCTGCGGCCGGGAACCCGCTGGAACGGGTCTAAAAAGGTCGCCCCGTGGCTCTGAAGGAACAGGTCTGAAGGGGCATCCATCTTTCGAGTCTTGGCTTGGGCACGTGCCAAGTCATTCGAGGTGCACTTGGCGCGGAGAGGTCCGGGTCTGGGACAGATATGAGTTGCCAGAATGAAATCAAACGGAAAACACACGAGCAGCAAGAGCGGAATTCGTATCGCTGTTGCCTGCATTCATTTAAACCAGTCCGGTAGTTGCAGTGTGCATGGATTGCCTGCGCACACGGCTTTCCTGGAGTTCAGGCCAACAAGCTTGTTTGCATGTCCAGTGAATTCAACGCATTCCGCCGGTCAGGGTTTCATCTAGGCGAGGTCCTTGGGCTGCAAGGCCTTGCAGTCTTGTGGAGATGGGCATGTTCCTCATTGAACGGAAGCTCCGTTCAATTCTGGTCAGGGAATCAGGGTGCCAAATGGCTTCAGTTTCTCGCATGGTGTTCTGAGTGGCCGGTGGTGTTTCGGCACAGGACAGTTCGAGGTCTGGTAAGAAGCATCCTTGATTTGGGTTGTTCAAAATCAATCCATCATGCTCAAATGCTTTGTTTCCCTTGTTGCGGTGGCGGATTGGCACTAAGGTTCCCCCTTGTCAACAATCCAGGAATGCAGGAATCCAGGAAGCCCCAGAAACCCAGAAACCCAGAAACTCAAGAATCCAGTCTATTTGTGCCTAAAAGCCAACCCTGTTCAGCTCGTTCACTCCCCTCAAGGCCTCGTGTCTCCGCTGGCGATGCGGCGCTTCCTGCGGGCGGGGGGATGGGCCGGGGGGGGAGCTGAGCGGCAAACCGGTGGACAGTTGCAAAAAGCGAAAGGGATCAACGCAGCAAGCTTTGCAAGAAAACGGTGTTCAACATTTTGGGTGGTTTTAACATCACCTTTCGGGCGGATTATGATGAACATATTTGTTTTACTTTTTTTGCCTGGTCAAAGACCACCCCCAGAATCGTTTGCCTTGCTGCTCTCAGGCAAGTCGCCGGCCCCCACGGCAGTGCGTGCGCATCAACCGCATCAAGGCACGAAATAGTGGGGCAAGGACTGTAAGAACAACAGGGGTGTCGCCCCTAAAATCAGCCGCAAAAGGCGAAATTCCAGTGGCTTATGCAGGCAGCAATTAGATGGCAGTGACACATGTGCTGGGTTATGGTGAATTCAAGCATGTTCGAGCAGCGTGGGCATCCCAAAGCAAAGCTAATCAAGGACTGACAGCACCAGGGTTTGCAACATTGGCCACTACACAGTTGTCGGCCCACCGCCTCACACATAGCACAGGATCTTGCCAAAGATGGCATTTGTTGCCCCATGTGATCTAGCAACATTCAGGGTGGAAGCACTTGTGAGGACAAGCGTTGAGCCAAGGATTCAGGCAGACACAGCACGTTTTACAACTCCCGTTGGTTGACGCTGTTTTGTGGGTTCTGCTTGGCCCAAGCCAAGGTCTCAAGTGGTTAGGCACGGATTCGGATGCTGGAATGCAGGGTCCAGGATCCAGATGTCTGCCAGTCTGCCACCGCAAGCGTTGCTTCTTTGGCGCAAGCTCTGTAGAACTGGTGACGCCGGTTAGCCCAAGACCCTGCTGCTTTCCACTTGTTTTGAACGTAGCCTGGTGTTGGGGGATGATAATTCAATCAGGAGCACGTTTTTGTCTGCCTCCTTCTTCCTGTGCGGTTGACGGACGAAATCCTGCACCAGCTCTCCTAACTCCGTTTTGCCAATGAATAGGCCGCGCACCCTCCCATTCAAAGTTGTTGGCATTCACAAAAAAGGTGCTGCAGGATGTTGGTCAGTCCAACATGTTTGCAACTAAGGGCCCCTACAGTTCCAATATGAAATGGAGAGCGCGAGGCTTTTCTAAACCAGAGGGAAAGCGAGGCAGGAATTCGTCCATCAGCAGCCTTCGTTCTCTTCAAGTTTTGTGCACGTGGGCCTCTCGTACCCCTCTTGGCTTCAAGACCAGCCTCCCTGGAGCCGGGAGATTTGTACCGTCGGCAGGCCAGCCGCACCATCCTCCAGGAATTCAGGAGCGCCTGAGTGCGATAGGTCACGGAAAGGTTGGCATGGCGCCGGGGGTAAACCGTACTTAGCGACAGCCTCCACAAATCAATGTCGAGTTGGATGGCTTGCTGCATTGCTATAATCCCAAGAAGGTCCAAAAGAGATTCATCAAGCCAGGCTGCTTCCCGGTTCTGGGTCATTTGCGTTTCTCAAATTCCCACAGCTTCCCCGTGCCAAACGCCTGCCCAACCTGAAAGACCCGCGCAATCCGACAGATCCTGCAGTCAAGATGCGCGGGGCCCAACAAGATAGGGCCGCCAATTCATGGCCGCAATCGTTGGCCTCATGCCGTCCATGCCAGGGGCATTCAAGTCCAAAGGGGCCAGAGAGGTCAAGAGAAAGAGACATGACAGGCACTTTTGTGCTGACGCTCACCAGGTGTGTCGTCTTCTCAAGGTTTTTCAGGGCGCCGGTCCACAGTCAGGAGGTTCTTCAGACTTTGGGGCTCGGATCGGAGTTGTTCTTCGGCAAAGAGGTGTGAACAGCTAGCTTCAAGAGAGCCACAATCAAAACCCGGGTAGATGAAGGGTAGTAAGGGACAATCCCAACCATAAATAGGCGGTCGCCTTCTCAATTCTTCACATGGTTCCGGGTAGGCCATTTTGATACCGGGTTTTGACTATGACTCAAGAGGGGTGTTCAAAAAGGCATGGTGTGCTCGTGATAGGTGCAAGAAGGTTCCAGTCGAATTTCCCTTCGCCTGGACCGTTTTGCAGGACCCGGGGCTGGGACTGCCGGCCGCTGCCTTGGTGCTCTGACGCCTTCATCTCCCAAGCGCAGGCCACGTGGGGACGGTGCTCCACCAAGAAAAAAAGCCAGGGGTTTCAGCAGGTTGAACGCTTGACTGCTATTGGGTTGGATCTTTAGACTTTAACTTTTTGGGAAATCAAAGGGTTTTTCACTAAACCCCCCAAAAGTTGAACTTTTTGCAGGGGGTCAACAGCAACCAAGGTTGGGGGTCTCAAGTCGGCCACGGGAGGGTGTGAAGAGTGTTCAGCTGGTGGGATCCTTTGTACAACAAAGAGTGGTGCCCCTTCTTGGGCCCTTGGTATTGTTTGTGTTTCCTTGGGTTCCTTTGAAGAAGGGTGAATGAGTATTACTTGTGCAACGCGCGGGGCAAACGAAGCGTTGTATGCGATCTCGCCCCCTTTGCACAGGATGAACGCCGCGGTTGGCAACTTGTCAGCTTCTTCGGAATACGTTTTTGGCTCAAGCATGTTGGGAGACTGCCACAGGTCCTGCATGCTCTCTTGACTCCGAGGCTTGCGATGGGCGAGCTTCTGAGCCAGCCGGATTTGCGCCAGCAGCTCGGCGAGATCCTGCAGGAGGAGCTGCGCCACTTCATGGGCCAGGTCACTGCCGAGCTCCGGGCCCTGCATGCCACGGAGCTGTCGAAGTTCAGCTCCCAGCTGGTGGACGCAGTGGCGTTGCTGAAGCAGCCGCCCAAGCGGAAGTTCCACACCATGCCCTTGGCCAGGCACACGGCGAAAGCGGTTGAACCCGAGCCAGCGACTGCGGCGACTGCAAGCACCTGCCTCGAGCTGGAGATGGCACGGGAGATTCCGGTGGGCCGCTGCGAGAGCTGCCTGCCGAGCCCCAGCTTGCTCCCCTTCGTGACGCACGAGCTCAAGTCTCCTCTCAACGGCCTGGCTGGCTATGCCCGGACTTTGGCCGAGACGGACACCGCGCGGCAGAAAGAGTTCCGATTGCTCTCGCAAGCAGCTCAAGGAGCACTGGACAGCGCCACAAATCTGACGGATTTGTGGAACTATGCCAGACAAGAAGTTGGCGACCTGGTCAGAAATCCAGTCAGTTTGGAGGACCTGAATCGCATGACCCGGGAGCAATTAGAGCGGAGCATGAACTCCAAAGGAAAGCCCCTGCTGGAGGGCGTTGCTTTGACTATGGAAGTCGAGGGCAGCCTTGCGATGGAGGGAGACCTAGTAGCGCTCTCCTGCTTGCAGTATCACCTGCTGTTCAACGCCGTGAAGTTCACGCCCGGGGGTGAGGTCGCCTTGGCATGGCGGCCTGCGGAGGGAGCCGTGTGCCTCACGGTCAAAGACACGGGCATTGGCATGGCAAACGCGGAGCCGATGTTCGAGGCCTTCGTGGTGGAGGATGCCTCGGCCGCGCGCAAGATCAAGGGCATCGGCCTGGGTTTGGCAGTGGTCCGCGAGATTGCTCGCCTCCACTCGGCGCAGATCCGCGTAGCCAGTGCCAAGTCGGCTGGCTGTACCATCCAAGTGCGCTTTCCAGCTTGATACTTGGAAGGTTTCGACCTACCAACATTTGATGCAGTGATTTCACCTTTATAAATAAGTCGAGTGACAATCAAGACCTGGATGTTTTTTGGGGCAGGCCCCCCCCCAGAATGCTGGGTGAGGAGAGCTTTCCGCCCTGTGATTCTTTACCACGGATTTTGGGTCGACACTTGCAATTCCAGGTTTTGATTGTGACTCTTAGAGCCACTCCAGATACGCCGGTTCAGTGGGGATGGAGCCAACCCCCCATACTTTTTCAAGGTTTCCACAGACCTGACTTGTCGGTTCCAAAGGGCTGGCCGTGACGCGGGCCTTCGTAAAGCGAGGCTCCCATTTGGATCCATTTGTGATCACACCGGACGGCGCACTTGACGACTATTGATGTGCCCTCCTCGCAATATTGCAGCGGCGTGGTATGTGCCAATGCCAGTTGTCTTGACTCACGTGCAACTACTCTGTGTTTTGGATTTGTGTGTGTGCGAGGTGTGTCTCTGTGTGTGTGTATGAGCGGGTGGGTGCGCCAACGTGCGAAACCAATTTTCCGGTTGGTCGCTTCGTAGTGCGCTGTCTCAATGGTGGCCTGAGTGAGGCGAAAAGATTGCTTAGAGCACGCTAGGCCCGGCAGCTAGCAAGCTTGGGCAGGTGACAGAGGTGGAAAGGAAAGGCCTGGCTAATACCGGCATACCTTTTAATGTTAACCCCGGATTATATAATAAACCCCGGGTTGGTGAATAGGGGGGTGTCCCCATTTAGTGGGGATTCATCACTTTTGGAGGGAACACCCCCCTAACAATGGGACGGGACGGATTTATTATGGGTCAACATTACACGGGTAAAAGCCGGTGAAAGCTATACCTAGCCATTGGTTGTTGCATGCTCTCTCCATGCCAAGCTAATGGTGCTTCCGAGTGTCTCTTGAGCTCGAGCAGCAGAAGGGTCAGAGTGGTGATGCCTGCCAAGACAATGCCAGGCGGCGTTGTCACATGAACTAATGTCAGCGGGTATGGCTGCAAAATAATTATGGTCCTTCAGGTGCTCATTTGCTTTCGTTTTTACAACTGGGTGCTGTTGCATTCAGACTCTGTTTGTTCTGGCGCCTTCCAAGCCCCAAAGTCCATTGCTTGCCAGGATGTGGGGAGTTCCTTGCCACACCTGGCCGGGGAGGCCAGCCGATTTCGGAAGAGTTCAATCGCTGTACAGGGGGGAGGGGGTAGGTAAAACTTGCAGGCAGTTCCTTCTGAAGAAGTTTGCTGACAGAGGGCCTGATGCCTAAGGCACTTGTTTAACCGCCACCTGTGTTGGGCTGCGGTTTCCAGTAGTTTCCAGCGGGCGGTTCCTTGTGTGGTCGGTGTTGAGGTGGGCGCTGGGTTTTGGGCACAGAGCGCCTGCAGATCTACAGCCAAGAAGCCACCTCAATGCTGCCTGCGCTGGCGCTGGCTGAGACCCTGCAGGAGGCAGGGGACGGATTTGGGTGGTTGAGTATGGATGGGTGCATTCTCGCAACCCTGGTGTGCATTGCTTTCTGCTGCTGCTGCTGCTGCTGCTGCTGCTGCTCATCGTTGTCGTCGTCTTCCCTGTTGTCTTGATCGCGGTAATTAGTGGGTGCCGCTGTGCTGCCTTGTGCTTGTCTGGCGCTGCCGCCCTTTCAGGTGGAGGCACCGCTGGTGCTCGACCTTTGCGCAGCGCCGGGCAGCAAGGCGAGGTGCCGCGGAACAGCCTGAGCTCTCCTCAACATGGCCGTTTTGTGAGTTGTCCAAAATGTGATTCACATGACCGATTTTGACGCTGCAAGCAGCCTTGCAACACAGGTGACATAGGTTTGTACAGGACTTTAAGATTTGCAAGAGAGACCGGGACAAACAACAATTTGGGTGGGGGGATTGTCTTAGCATGCCAGTGTCATGTGCGATTATGTGCGATTTTTTGCAGACCACGCTGCTGGCGTCAATGCTGGATGAGCCGGCGGCCTGGTCTGCGTCGAAGCGCGGCGCCCCTTACCGTGTGTCTAGTCCCCTTGAAGGATTTACAGAGCTGAGGTAGCTTTAAAACGATATGGCTGTGGCTCAAAACATGGTACCCAAAATGGCATCTTTTCGTTGCCCAAATGCAAACTGGCACGTTGATGGCTTGGGGGTGCAGCCCACGGAGAGTCTTTTGTCGCTCGGCAAATCTTGGGCGTTAATGTAAACCCCAATGAGTAATGTACAACCCCATCATTGTCTACGGAGGGTTTCCAGTTTGGCCGAAACCCTGTTGAGTTGCAAATATCCACTTGGCATAAGGAGGGCAGGCGAGAAAAACAAACGGGAGCTGCAACTCTTCCAACAGTGGAACCAAGCCTCCAAACCCTTCTAAGGACGGACGGGTGTGCGAAACGCCGTGTATTTTTCCTTTCAAGGGTGTATGCCTGAATGCAGTCACTGCTTTCAGGTCTGCGCTGATCGTCGGAGCCTCAGATTCAATGGCCGCTGTAGTAAGACACAAGAGCTGCTCTGAATCCAACATGTTTGCCGCATGAAAATCGATTCTGTCGGCAGGTAATTCCATGCTCTTGCGCCGGCCCATCCATTGCATGCCCCCATTGAGTCTCCCATGTGAGCAACAGTCCTTTAAGTCATGCAAACATGTGCCGGAGACCAAGTTGGGGTTTGCATCTTGGTGGCAAGGTTGTGGGAACAAGAGTCGGTGTTACGCGTCTACTTTCCTATTCGGATCTAGGAAATGTGAGGTGAGAGGGGCCCAGGTGCATTTGGCACATGTTCGTGGGCCCTGTCTCAAGTTCGTGTGACGAGTATACTGCACGTTTTCTAGGCTTCTTAAACAGACGCATGCGGACTCGGCTGGCCGGCCTTTCAACCCAGCATCCTCTCCAGCGCACCGTGCAGCTCAGAGGGCCAGTTTGATTGCAACTAATCGATTGTTTTGTCATGTCACCATTGCCTGAACAAGAGGGTTTGTACAGGGTCATGTGGGAATACGGAGGTGCCAAACTGGGATGGCTGAGCTATTTTTCCAGGCACGATGCACCCGAAAGTGCAAATCCCTGAAGCGCGTTCCTCTCGGGCAATAATGTGCTCCAATGAATTTCTGGCACTGGTGAAAGGGCACACCATCGTTGAGAAGCCACTGGGCGAAACTCATCCGCGCGCACACCACAAGCAACCACATAAGCATGGTTTGTTCAGGCTCATATTTCACATCCATTTGTAAATGCATGTTCTTTTGTACCCATCGCCAGCTCTCTTCAATGCCCAGTTGCCCAGTGGCGCCCTTTTTTTTTTTTCCTCTCTCTCTCTCTCTCCCTTTTTTTTTTTCTCTCTCTCTCTTTTTTGGGGGAAAGCTTCTTTTCTAAACTGAAGCAACTAAAAAAGGATGCCCTTTTTCTCCCCTGCGGCCGCTGGGCATCTGAATAGAATGGCCCACAAACCGCCCGAACCAGCGACGCAGGTGGCCAACGAGTTGCAGGACGAGCGGCGCAGGGTGCTGCGGAGTAACCTGCTGCGAGCTGCTGGGGCCTCGTGAGTTTGGAGATTTTGGAGGTTCACTGTTTTGTTTGGTTTAGTTGTTTGTTTTGGTTTTGTTTGTTTTGCTTAGCTGTTTGTTTTTGTTTTGCTTGTTTGGTTTAGTTTGCTTTTGTTTGTTTAGTTTGTTTGGTTTAGTTTGCCTTTGTTTGCTTAGTTTGTTTTGTTTAGTTTGCTTTTGTTTTGTTTAGTTTGTTTGGTTTAGTTTGCCTTTGTTTGCTTAGTTTGTTTTGTTTAGTTTGCTTTTGTTTTGTTTAGTTTGTTTTTGTGTTGTTTGTTTCGTTCAGTTGTTTGTTTTTGATTTGTTTGTTATGGTGTGTTTTGTTTGTTTTGTCTAGTCTTTTTTTTCCGGTTTTGTTGGTTTGTTTGGTTTGTTTTGTGAAGCTGTTTGGTTTGTTTGTTTTGTTTAGTTGCTTGTTTGTTATTTTGTTGGTTTGTTTTGTTTGTTGTGTGTAGATGCTTGGTTTGTTTGGTTTGTTTAGTCGTGCTTTTTTTTGTGTGTGTGTGTGTGTGTTTTGTTTGTTTGTTTTGTTTGTTTAGTTGTTGGTTTCTTTTTGTTTAATTGCTTCTTTTTGTTTGTTTGTTTTGTCTTGATGTTAGCTGTTTTGGGTTTTGTTTGTTTGTTTTGTTCGGTTTGTTTTTGTGTGTTGTTTCATTTGTTTAGTTGTTAGTTTTTCTTGTTTTGTTTGTTTTGTTTAGTTGTTTGTTTAGTTGCTTGTTTTTTTTTTTTTTTGTTTGCTTGTTTGTTTTGTTTGTTTGTTTGTTTGTTTGCTTGTGTTGTTTGTGTGTGTTTTGTTAGTGGTTTTTAGTTGTGTTTTCGTGTTTTGTTTGTTTTGTTTAGTTGTTTGATTTGTTTGTTTGTTTGTTTGTTTAGTGTGTTTGTTGTTGTTTTGTTAACTCTTTGGTTTGTTTGTTTTGCTTAGTGGTGTGTCTTGTTTTGTTTGTTTTGTTTAGTTATTTATATTTGTTGTTTTGTTGGTTTGTGTAGCCGTTTGGTTTGATTGTTTTGTTTAGTTATTTATATTTGTTTTTTTGTTGGTTTGTGTAGCCGTTTGGTTTGATTGTTTTGTTTAGTTCTTTGTTTTGTTTGCTTTGTTTAGTTGTTTGTGTGTTTGTTTTGTTTGTTTTGTTTGGTTTGTTTGGTTTGTGTAGCTGTTTGGTTTGCTTGTTTCGTTGAGTTTTTTTTTTTTTTAAACAAATTGGTTAGTTATTTTTCCCAGTTTTGTTTATAAGTTGTTTGTTGTTTTGTTTTGTTGGTTTGTTTGCTTGTTGATTTGTTTTGTGTGTTCGTTTGTTTGTTGTGTTTGTTTGCGAAGCTGTTTGCTTTGGTTGTTTTGTTTAGTTTCTTGTTTTGTTTGTTGTGTTTAGCGTTTTTTTTTGTTGTTGTTGTTGTTGTTGTTGTTGTTGTTGTTGTTGTTGTTGTTGTTGTTGTTGTTGTTGTTGTTGTTGTTGTTGTTGTTGTTGTTGTGTTTGATTGTT